TGAGGATTTAACAAAGCTGAAAACAATAAAACATAATTTTAAAACTTAAAAAAATATAAATTAAGATTAATCCACAACCACACATGTATTGCTCTTAAAAGATTTATATTGCTTTTCTTAGAATCCTTAAATCCTTCTTTTGCAAGCATTTGGATGAAAAAAACATAATAAATGTACATTTATTTCAGATTGCATTAAAATATTTATTGAGTGTAACACAAACTAGGGACCTCTTTAATACATAATACATAATACAAAAGGATGGGTTAAAGACTTATGATTAAAATTACATTTATGTAGATTTTCTCTAATCCAGCACCACTCAACTAAGTAGGATACAAAAATCAAATGTTCTTAAGTTATTAGCATTCTGAATGTTATTAGCAGTGCATGAACAGTCTTGGAGATGAATACATTGGTAGACAACTGGCTATAATACACCTTCAAATGTTTAACCAATAAATTAAACACATAATAAAGGGTTTACATTATATTTTTATATTTATTTATTTTATATTTATATATTTACATTATATTTATTTTTTATTTACATCTTTCATTAACTCCACTGTATTTTCTTTAGTTAGTTTAAATTTGATGGGTTAATTTAACTTGCCATTATTCTGTGGATCTGCCAGTCTAGGGAGAGTGAAGTCACGTGCTCTCAGTCTCACCTTACTCCACCTGGAGCCATGGATGGACACTAGCTTACAGTGAACCTCAGCAGAATAACCTGCTAACTGGTGTACGACAGTTAATATTTATATAACTAATTTAAAACAAAGAATTTTACCAGCAATTGAAGGTTGCCTTAACTTGTTTTCTGAACTTCCGTCATTTTATGTTTGTAGATATGTGTTGTAATCAGTCTAATTCAGACAGAAAACAAATTTGCTTATAAATACAATATTCCACACTTTTATTTTGGAAAGTACCAGAATTGCTTCTTTATGGATTTCTTCACATAATGCGGTCTCTATGGCTAAAGACCTTCTCTCGAAGATTGATTGCTCATTTGTTCACCACTCCTTCTGAAAATACCCCATCTTGAGAAATAAAATAATTAAAATAATAACTTAAAATATTATTATTATTTACATTAAGACCTCTTTTCAAAATACTCACTTTATATTTATCTTAATACAAACACAAATACAAGTTCACTACCACATAAAAACGCTCTGGAAAACAACCAATCTAATGTTAACTGAATAGCAAACAAAGTTGATTTCCTACAAATTAATAAATCTTGGTTAAAAATAAACTGTATATGTGCTCTACACAGTATTTTTGAGCACTCTCCATTCCATATGTTAAAGCCTCCTCAGTGCCTTAGAGCAATTAAATACAGGGTTTTCCATTAATCTTTATATAATAGCACTAGCCTATAGGCACCTAAAAAATCCCAGGTGTTGCTGTTTTGTATAAAGCAAAGCAAACCGTGGCTGATTTGTGCATGGGCACTTGGAGAACTCCAATGAGAGTTTGCTTATGTGCTTGGTTTGAACCTCTGATGTCTGGACTATTATAATAAATGTGATTTTATATAGCGCCTTTAAGGGTGGCTTCTCATAACACTTTACAGAAAGACAACAACAATACACAAGATATGCACAATGAAAATACACAATGAGAGCAGACAGTAGATGGAGGTACTGAATACAGTAGGAGCAAAGGGGTAAGTAAAAAACAGTTACGGAAAGGCCCTTCTAAAGAAGAAGGTTCTGAGTCTAGATTTGAACGAGTTTTGGAAAGGTGACTCTCTGATATACTTAGGGAGAGAGTTCCATTCACCCATGGAGTGTAGACAGGTTTGGGGAACAGATAGGATACCAGAATTAGAAGAGCAAAGGTTGCAAGGTGGGGAGTAGGACTATAGTAGCTCAGACAAAGCCTTATGCATGAGGTGAGAATGAGGAAGTTGAGATGATACCTGACAGGAAGCCAGTGCAAGGACTCCAGGATAGGAGTGATGTGATCACTTGCACTAGACCTGGTCAGAATTCTGGCTGCCAAATTTTGGACATATTGGAGTTTATTAAATGTGGATTTTGAAACCCCAGCAAGTAGAGTGTTACATTAGTCAATTCAGGTGAAGACAAATGTGTTTAAATGAAAGAGATGTAAGGTTGTTGGTTGATCTTACAATTCATTTATAACCACACTTATTATATCAGCTTTGGATACTGTGTTACAAAAAGGGTCTCGATGTACTGGAAAGAGTTCAGAGAATGGTAACCAAGTTAATGTGTTTTAAAGAAATGCCAATATACAGTATACATCCTTCGATTCATCCATCCTTATTCTAAACATGGAGCCTATACCAGCAAGCAATGGAGACATTGCAGGATACACCCAGGATTGCATGCCGGTCCATTACAGGGCACACAGACACAAAAATGCACACACTCACACCAGGGCCAAATTTTCCAGAAATCAATTAACCTACTAGTATATTTTCAGACCGTGGGAGAAAGGAGAGAACCTAACAGAAACTCACGTGAATACAAAGAGAACATTAAAAGACCACACAGATAGCATCCCAGGAATTGAACCCAGGGTCCCAGTGCTGTGAGGCAACAATGCTAACTGCTGTGACATTGTGTGACCCTATACACTCAAAGGAACTAAATCTCTTTTGAAATTAAAATTTCAGATAATTCTCACTATAGTCATTTGATTTGGAATAGCCAATTACAGTTTTTGTTTTCCACAGCTCTTCCTGTAGCTAAAATACTTATGCTTGGACAAGAAGGATTGAGAATGTGTAGGCAAACTGCTGGCCCACCTACCTACAGTACGTTTCAGTAATTCAACTTTTAACATAGAACTGGAAATTAAGAAGCAATACATTTAGAATTGAAAACAATGAGAACTTCTCAATATAGTTGCTTAGGTCAAGTTAAATTCCTAAGGATTATTCATAAATGTATTCCTCAGCTCTTTTAGGGAATGATCCTTAGGAATAAGAATCCAAAATCAGATTACATTCTCAGATAAATGAACAACCAATAATCTGGTAAGCATGATTTTCACATACTGTGTTATGTGTATTGTTCTTATATTCTTATGGCAAGAAATTGTAAATGTGAAATTGTTCTGATAAACTTTGTACTTAACATGTTCTGAATGATTACTTTTTTGAAGTGTTAGATTATATTAGTTAAAGTATTTATTAATGGCTCACTGTGATTCATATCACATATAACATGATGATTAAGAGTTCATCATAATATACTGTACACATATTTCTTTTTAGTTTTTCAGTGGTTTCTTGGTTTTATTGAACAGAAGTACAGGTGGATGTCTAATTCTAACTTTGCAATTTTTCCCTGCATGCATTGCTGGGACCTTACTTTTCTCATGTCCATCCAGAATCAGAGTCACTTTCTTGCCTTATCAACCCTCCATTGAAAACAAGTGACCCTTTTCTCCTATGCCATTTGTGTTTTTCCTTCAGTTTTTCTGATGTCAGCAAGCCTTCCAGACACTCTGTGGCTTGTCCTCCCTTTGCCTTCCCTTCTCTCTCTTCCTAACCCCGCTTTCTCTGCTCTCTCCTTTCCTCACCGTTTCTGGTCAAACATCCAATCCATCTCATCTACTTCCACAGCCCACTTGATCCAACTGGTTGCTGACTGCCACTGTGACCCACTGTGAATGCAAGCACACAGGAGTCAGTCTGCACTGGATCCAGGCACCCTCAGTAATCCCCACACTGTACCTATCACAGGCAACCTACTGTAGGCTGCTGCAGTGATAGGTCTCCCCTATCACTCCCCTATCTCCCCTGAAACCAAACTGGAGCCCAAAATTTATAGCAGTAGTATTAAAAGGTGTAGTGTTATTATTATTTGAAGAAAGTATTACAATTTGGAGAATACTAAAAGGAGAACCTAAGGTCAGAAAATGCAACATAAGAGTTGTATGAGCTGTTATATTATACAATAGTACCGAATTAACACAGCAGGGACTAGGGTTGAAAACTTCCCCTTTTCCCCCGGGTAGTACCAAAGAAAATCGTCTGACTTAGATGTCCGGCTGTGTCCCCCATTTGTGTATACTGTACATCATCTTAACAACTCATAAAGAAGATCTTTTTTTTTATTTTCAAAAGTAAAGTACGCGTTGCATTTTTAGTCTGTACAATGCAGTACTATTGAATTACCTTATAAACAATAAGTAGTTCGAACGCTCTCACAGAATATACAGTATACTGTAGTTACATACAGAAAGTAGCGTTTTCTGATGAGCAGTTATTTATATTTTCTTTATAATTTGGATTACAATGTGCAAACTTTGTTTGTTACACATTAAAGACAATGACACGTAATTTAAAGACTGTGATACCCAGTTTTACGAGTTTAACCAAATTTCACCACAGCTGTCATATCATTTGAGAGACGGGGAATATAAAATCATGGCGTTTTCACAAGACTCCCACAACCTGAACAGGATCTTAAATCGCTCTTGTTCTGACAATTTGTGAAGCAGCTACTATTAATGATAATAATGCCTAGTAGAACAGAACGGGTTCATGTGAAATTACATCAAATTCCTGGAGTGAATAAATGAAAGTAATGATGGTGACCATTGCGTGTTTCTATTGGATGAAACCTTTGTAGTGCTTACAGCTGAAGCACTTAGCAGTGTATATCTATAGTGACAAAAGAGACACTAAAGGATTTTCTCAGCGGACAGAAACTATACGAAAACATCCTGGGTTTATAAAAAGAGATTTTTTTTTCATATCATTTTAAATTTTACACTCCACTTTTAACTATGGATGCTTCAATATTCCAAATGTTTATTGGTGAATTCGATCCTAACTGCAGCCTTATTGATGCCTTTCAGGATACTTTCTTTGAAAACGCGTCTTTTTCCTTACCGGATTTTGATGGTAGGGGGGGGGTGAAACCTTTTTTTAAGGTTTTTTTTTTTCCCCCTAGCTTTGTTAATTATAAGGACTGACGCAACATTTATGTTTTTCTTTATTTCTCAAGGTCTCTATTGCAATGCGACGACCGATGAAATTGGAACTTGCTGGCCAAAGAGTAGTACGGGTCGAATCGTAGAAAGACCATGTCCAGAGTATATTAATGGGGTCAAATACAACACGACGAGTAAGTCTTTATTACGTTTCAAATTACCGTATTTGTTTATTTAGTCCTATTTCGGTAAGGCAGCTGCTTGTTATGCGCTTATGTCTTAAATTATGGTAATGAGAATGGTTATAATAATATATATATATTATATTGTCATTTATATTTTTAATGTTGACGTGTAACTTGCGAAGTTCGTGTTTTGCTATTTTTAAAAGAAGTTTAAATTCCTTAAAAGGTTGAACTTATGTTTGATAACTGAACAATTTCAGACAACAGTAGATGTTAGCTGGTAGAAGTAACATCGTTGTGATTAATTTTGTTATCAAATGAAGTCAGGTATTGCCATTCGGCTTTGGAAAATACTTCAACTTGAAGTTCAAGTGTACCATACACTTTGAATGCGATATTGTCAAATTTGTCTTCACATGTTTACAGCAGCTTTAGACAGAAAAAAAAGCACGAGGAGCTGTCCATTTTCCAGTACTTGGACCAAAACCTGTAAAAGGAGAGAGGATACAGCTGAATCTATACTGTACCAATCCCTTTTTTTAAAAATACAAGAAAATCTTATTGCATATTAGTGAGGTAACACGACTTCATAGTTTGTTTTAATTTTGATGTTTTTAAAATGCACTGCAACGTTTGTTTGAAAAACACCTTTTTACATTTTACATTAAGTTTTTGTTGCAACAGCAAGGCAATTGCGTTCAACAGTGAGAGATTAAGTAGCAGTGTAACTGTTCGTATGGAAAGTTCAAAAACCTTTAGAAAGGTAGGAAAAACAACTTGCGTTACACTTTCTTCCAGGCATGAATCAGACAATCCTTGACTTCTCTTTAAATTCCTAATTCAAAATGCTATTCTGTCTGAAGCAAGACAAAAGAAAGAAAAAAACTTTCTAACTTGGAATAATTAAAAATTCTACAGAAGAAAGACAACAGGGGAACAAATGCTAATGTTCATTATAACATGCAGCATCACTGCAATTGAGAATAGCTCAACTTCTGAGGTGATGCAAATAACTATTTTGCAAAACAAAATAGGAACGATGTGGCATCTGTACATTACTAACCTGAAATCTAAATAGGCTAAGGTGATGTTTAGAGATTAATCAGAACTGTGATCGTTTTTTTTTGTAATGATTTACAATAAATATATATGTCCACCATAATCCACACTAATCTGAGACAGTTTTAAAGTCTTGTGTTGTGGTTGTCATATGGTACAGTATATCAGTCAGCTGTGAACTCTGTAGAAACCATATTTATTTCTTGCTAAATGAGTTCATTATCTAGAATGCACAGAATGCAAGTGTTACAAGTGTGAAAAGTGATGATGTCCTAAATTTGTGATGGTAACATATTCCCATAACCATGGATTGCAATTAATGCCTTCAAATCTCATTAACCTTAGTACTTGAGTGTAGCATATAGTTTGAGGCCAATGTGAATGTTACTGGACTTTTATAAGAAAACTGCAAAGTTCAGGTTTTTTCAGATGCAGTAACTGAGATAACATATTAGCAAGTTTTAATTAAAGGATTTTGTCCATCAGATATTCTTTCCTACCTTCAGTATATTTTACTCGGAAATTTTCTTTTCATGTTTTACCATCTGTCCTGATAATTCTAGGTGTGACATTACCCACAGACATATGGTATACTCAGCAAAAAAGAGAAAAGTACCGAATACTCAGCCTAAGATTAAATGCTCTCTATTTTCTCCAGAGTTTTTGCTAAATAAGGTTTTACGCAAATATTTTTAAGCTTTGTTTTTTAAACATGTGTTATAGCACTTCATTTGTATATAATTAATTTGTATATTTAATGATTTAATGAGCTGGGAGATTGTGAAATGCACACGTGCATGTTTAGACATCTGTTACTATGATAATATCTCTTTAGCATTGAGATACTAAATAAATGTCAGAAAACATATCAGCTTCTAAAGCTGTGTCTTATAATGTCAGATACTGTGCACCATGTCTATATATTATTATTTTTGTTTCTAAGGAACCACCTCTCATATACTGTAAAGTGCTGACATATACAGTAGTCTTGCTGTGGGAAAAGATGCATCTATTATGTTACATCTACTGAGACAGTTGTTTTTTTTTTACATCTCTGCTTTGGTCTTGTAAGTTTGTTATGAAAAAAGTACATTTACATTGGTTTATCTGCCATGAATGGACATTACACTGAGAACACAAAGCACATATTTACAGAAAAGATTGTGGCAATATGTAAACTACAGTACCCAGCTACTGTTTGTTGTTGAAGTCAAAACTCTGGCTTCTTTAAAGAAATGTTTGGAAGAGGACATATCAATAAGATACTAAGTACCAAATGGGCTACATCAGCCGAATGGCCTCCTCTTACAGTTTATGTACCCTTAATTATAGGCTTATATCCTTCACTCCCAAGTTAAAAAAATGAAACAGTAGTCAGCCTAAGATACATACAGTACCACCTCTTTGCATTAAGCACCAAATATTGGCCCTATGTATTTGCCCCACCAGCACTACTTTTCAGTTAATAAAATGACAGAAAAAAAAGTTGTTTTCTATTAATTTTCTATGAATTTAATGATTTTTAAAATGCCTTCAAATATACATTTATAAAAACATAATTAGTGTATAACTGGTTATGATGAGGTACATTGCAGGATAAAACTTAACATTCAAAGAAAGTATAGCTTTCCTTTCAATATACTCTCACTGTGTGACAGTTTTATTATAGGGAAGCACTATGTTTGAAATCTGAAAAAAATGTTTTACTTTACAAGACTTCAGAATGTTACTTTCATTTTTGTACAAATTAAAAATTAATTATTTATTGAAAATCATACTTGTTATATCAAGCTTATATATGCACTGTAGAGGTACTCTTTTATATAAGGAAAAGGGTAAGGATTAATTCCTTGCTGAAAAGTAAAAAAAGAAAGCAAAAAAGAAAGCTCAAGCAGTTGAGCATTCTTGAAATGTCACCTCAGAAATTTTTTTAGCAACTAAATAATACAGTTGGACAGTTTGACACCACCGCTGAATGTCAATGGATATTCAGTGTAACAGCTACAACCATGGGCTCCATAAAGCTGGAAAGCTACCTTTTGTAGTACACAATTTAATCTGTAGTACACAAATCTGTTTTATGCATAGATCTATCTTGATTAACTGTTAAATTAAAATAGCAGTGTTTGTGTCTATATACATAACATTATTTTGTTTTCACTTATGGAGTACTAAATCTGGGGACATCTAATTTCAAATTAAAAAAAAACAAAATTGTACATGAATAGAATTTGTATGTAATTCTGAGATAAAAATAGTAATGATCAGAGTCTGTCCATATCATAACATTTGTCTTAAGTAAAATGTAATAGTTAACATAACATGTTCAGGATAGCACCTGAAGTTTTACATAGTGTTTTTGTAGTGACAAAGAACGCAGTAGTGAGATTCTATCACTCCTCTGCCATGTAACTTAGATATACAGTATATGGTTGTCATGACAAAGATACAAGTCAGTTATTTGTTTTTATAATTTAGCACACTTACTGTTTTTTTTAATTTGGCTGACATTTTTATTCAAAGCAACTTACATTTGCAGTTGTGTGAACAGGACTCTAAGCACTGCCTCAAACACACTTAACTCTATCATATGGGGAAAAAAATGACTCCAGGAGGTACAGATGCAGCCATTCAAAATGCGCGGGCGATACCGCATTATTTTCCGGTGCGCTGTACGCAGTCTACCGCGAGTTACCGGTAAATAACGCTAGTTACCGTAAATTCTCCTATAATACCGCAAGCAAAATAATAGTATCCGGAATTTCCGCAAGGTGGAGCTAATAAAGCTCAACCTCTCATGTTTGAGCTGTCGCCATCAAAGTCTTTAATGAAGATATTACAAATAGTATTAATAATGAATGACCTTGGACAAGCTGTAAGTGTAAACTCTAAGTATTGCCCTGATCCACATTCTTTTTTTCATTGACCGTCTTTGTAACACCACAGCATTTCGCAATCACGCATTTGTTTCCAATCATGCAAAGTACAGTCATTTTTGAGAATCGATTCACCATGCCTTTCACATGCTCATAAAAGAGATTGATTTAGGAACATAAACATATTACCATATGCATACTGTATACAGTATGTATATGTATATTTAATGTCTTAACTGTGCCTGTTTAAGTATTGAATATTTATATGGAATTTTACCACTGAAGGGAAATCTTAGTGCCTGAGCATAAAAAGAATAGGAGCATACTGCAACACGTGTGAAGGCCATAAACGATATTAATTTTGGAACTTAAACATACAGTATATGGCTGGTCTCGGTACTTTAAAGAAAACATACACACCAGTATTCCATTTCTCCCTAAACATTTTAAGCATCGAAGTCTTTAACTAACGTGATACCGGAGTCAACAAGCATACTTTTAGAATTTGATTAAAAGGGAATATAATATGGAATCGCGTATCTAAAGAAATTAATAATGATATGATTATATTTGTGTACTGCGACAGGGCTGCGTAGGGCTGTTTCGCCTCTCTCTTCATGCGACTTCCCTTGTAGCCCACTGGTCTACATGCCCGCTTCCCAACTCATGGGTTGTGTGTTCCAATCCAGCTGCTGCTGGACTTTTCTTTTAACAAACATTTCTCCGAAAAAATAGAATAGCAATATTATGGACAATCAATTGACTTTTATATTTCAAAATATCACAACATGATCGATTCTAAGTCATTTTTGATAGCAATGAATAGTCCCTGCATATGCTTCCTGCTTCTATTGTGTGTGTGAGTGTGTGTGGGGGGGGGGGGACCCCTTCAGATCTCCCTTCAGATTTAAAAGGTTATTAATCATATCTTCGGTGTTGCATCTTACCAGTGCAGCTGATCTTTTGCTGCCTGGGTGGGTCAACTATCACAAAATTTTAGAAAACCTAACATTTCTATTATCAACAAATTGTAAATTTGTAATAGAGTAAATTTTATAGAGAAATGGAGGCTGG